AGTATTAAAATGTAAAAATACAAAATATTACCCTAAAATATTCAAGTAAAGAGGAAAGTTTGTGGGGAATCCTTGAGTATCTGAACCTCTTGAATAATGTGAGTCGTAAATAAGAGTTTCCTGGCAAACACTGCTTTTGCCTTTTATTTAGCCATACAACAAAAATTAAACCAACTTCTAAACTGAAATGCCCATATATCTATATTTTTCTACTTCATCCAGGTTCCTGCAAGTCTAATTCGAAATTGATCTGGAATTTAGGCTCCTTATTTGGATAAAAGAGCCCCCCAATATTTCTCATCATATTCTGGAGTCTTTTGATTCTCATTAAACTTGGCAAAAATGTAAGTCTCAATAGGCTCCTTGGGCCGCTTCGGAGTCCCACCCTTAACATGCTAATTCACCTTGGTAATATAGGTCCTAGCATTGTCCATGGTTGTCGCTGTTCCCCCCATCCGATGGCCACCCTGTCTCGGACACAACAATCTCCACAGACCCCCCACCGGACTTCTTAAGAGCAGAACACACGGCATACACTAGTGCATCAAACAAGTTCAGGTACTGTAGCTGGTCCTCGAACACAACCGTTCCTGTTGCAGTGAAGAGAGCGTAGTCAAGGCTGATTTGATCCATGTTTTGAGTGTAGCTGAAGTAAGGGTAGAAGTTAACAAGCAAAGGAGAATTGTTGTTCACTAAAAACTGAAATTTTATTTATTATATAATTTAAGTTATAAAAAATATATTTGCATGTGAATTATTACTATTATCAAAGCACTCTTGGTTTAGTGGCAAACATGACAAATGATTCTGTGCAGAATAATTAAGGATTTAAATTCTTTTTTCTTTACATAATTTTTAAAATTTTAGATTGCATAACGACGAATAACCCTTTTTCGTCTATTAATTTATTCCATTTATATATCATGTGGTTCAAAATTATAATTGAAAGAAAATCATTATTAAACTACTTAAGTTATTAATTTTTTGTTGCTTTTTTTTTTATTAGTTGTCGTACTTTGTATTTTTAGAGGACATTATATATGGACTGAATAATTAGAAGTTGCTAAAATAAATGGGTGGAAAATTGTTGGTAATGTTGAGGGAACAAAATTACGGGATTGTTTAGTCAGAATCTATTACGCAGCAATTTATGTAAGTTCTTCGGAAACATCCATAAAAAATTGGCAATGGCACCATCTTTCTTCTTCAGTCTGCCCTCAATTTGCGGGTATACTGTCTAAGCCGCCGGTCTCGCTGGAAAACATTTAAAATCAGTTATTGCTTGACAGTGACTTGAAGGAAATCAACAAATTCATATCAAATTTCCACATAAACACGGTGCCCACGCACAATTAATCTTGAAATTCTACGGCTAAGACTATGGTTTCCTTTGATAATATTTTGTACAGACATTTTTTGAATAATATTTTATTTAAAAATATAAATTTTTAATTTTTAATATACTTTTGTTAATTTTAATTTACATTTTATATATTTTTGAGACAAAAAAACAAAAAAAAAAATTTACAATTACAGTTTCAACATGTACAAAGCCAAAAAATAAAGACTATGTCAATATTGTACGTAATATAATGTCAAAAAGACTTTAAAGTCTAAAGTCAAGAATACCATTTCGGATGAACTAAAGATATTGATATCATTAATTTTTTTTTGATATATCTAAATGAGTTATATAAGAGAAGATAATCATATTTTTTTTATCATTTTTTTAAATTCCTCTCCACTTAATTTAAGATTTAAACTTTCTTTAAATTTTTCTCCACTTAATTTAAGATTTAAACTTGAGACCTACAATATAAAATTTAAAATTTTTAATTATTGAGTTTTCCATTAGAGTTCATTGATATTATTAATAAAATTCTTAAAACTACTCTAGAATTAATGTTTTAAAATAAGGCCAACAACG